GACAGTCAGGCATAGGCACCATTTTCAATGTCTCTGGTCATTTACCCCAACAAAACTCCTCTGGAATTGTGAGAATTGAAGCCCAGAGAGACAAATGACTTGCCCAAACTCTCTCACAAGGAGAATATGGGTCTCCACCTCCTGGCTCTCCACTCCGAACCTCACAGCCACCACAGAGGCTTCAGTTCTCTGAGATCCTGTCCAACACTATACTGTTGCAGACAACCTGTGAATATGTCAAGAGCAGCGGGGAAGATGAGCGTCATGGTTTGGTATCAATAATGAATGACTAAGCAACCTTATGCTCAAGAGCAGAGACAGCCCTTTACAATTTATAAATCTGCAGTCTGACACAGTATTTACTCAGTAATAGCCTATGGATAAATGCGTGGGCCAGGAGGGAGAGCAGCATGAAAAACAGCCTTGAAGTTCTGCTAAGATATAAAGGACCCATGGATCCTACCATTCACCATATTAATCACTAAATTTACTTATTTATTAACAGGGACAGAACTAAAACATAAAATGATGTTTAATATGCTGAAAGGAAGAAACAAGAAACCTCCTTTATGAAAAAAGTATGACAAAACTATCCTGAGTAAATAAATTGGACTACTTCTGGAAGTTGATTGAATTTTAAATTCCTTCTTGAATTCTTGAATTTCCTTGCCCACATAGAATTTTCATGCTGCTACATAAAGTTGTCACTGAAAAATTCTTCTATGTCACTCCTGGTCTAAATGCATTCACCTTTCCCATACTAGATTCTGTCACCATAAATTCCCTAAAGGCACCAACCAACCCTCCTGATAGTTAATCTACATCAAGGTGATCATTGTTGATACTTTCGTGGCAGGACCCACCAAAACCAACATGAGTCTGGTTTTGCTTTTCGCTACTGACCCCAGTGGTTTTCATGTAAGGGGCATGAGCCCTCTCTCCTCCCTGGCAGCTGAGGCTGGAGATCTGCATGAAGCTAAGAAGCCATCTTAGACCATGAGATGACTCCCCCGCTAAGGATGGAGCAGTGAGACTGAGGGATTCTTGGTCTGAAACTTCACGAAGCAGCCCAGCCACATCTGCTCAGTTACTGCCAGACTTCTCTCACATGATAAATACCCTCCCTGTAATCCACTCTTCAGAAGGGCTTCTTCATATATGCAGCCAGATCTCATTTTAGTAATAACATGGGGTGACATGCCTCCCTAAAATCCTTTGTTCCTGGGCCCTCCCTGGTGGCACAGCGGGTGAAAGCACTAAGCTAAAGCCACTTCTGCATGAGTTCGATCCCTGCCTGCCCCGGAGGTAACCACATGGTGCGGCAGACCTCTCCTGACCCACCCGCTGCTCCCCTCAGCAGTGTACTTCGTCGATCTGCCTGTTCTGCTCCCCACTCTGTCTCTGGTGAATCCTCTCACTGCCCCTGTGCCTCTGGCCTGTACCCCAGTTCTGTATGAATAAATAAATAAATTTTTTTTTACAAAAATCCTTTGTTCCCACCCCACAAGAGCCCTCTGCCTCTCCTGGCTTCTGCCTTCCAAAGGCACTGAGCACTAAAGCCGACAGTCACAGGAACAGCGCTTTACAGCTGTCACCCTCAGAGACCTTGATAGTAAGAGCAGTTCGCCGAGTGGAAGGCAGAGCTTTCTCAGGCAGATTACAGGTTACAGGCTCCTGTACAGTGCGGCTCGCTGACCCACAGAGGGCTCTTTTCCACGCAAAGGTCAGGCTGGGCTACCTGTATGACATCATCAGTGCTCAAAGAAATCGAGGCCCATCAGGCTGACTATGGCGGCCCTTATCTTGAATTGCGCTTTGATTTTACTCCTTTCCTTCCAAAATGGCCTGGTCCCTTCTGCCCCTTATCTATGGTTCAGAAGGTACCTGAACTTGTGGCAAGTTTTCAGGCTTCATTGGCCCTGCTTTGGGCCAAACGTGTTTGGCTGGGCATTTGTTTACCCATGAAGGTAAATATTTTATTGGGAAACCACATCCTTTCTCTTCTAACTGTATTACAATTCCTTTCTAGTAAAGGTCACACACTAAGGTCATACTTGGTCTTTAAGCAGAGCAGGATAATTAACCTGGCTCCTGGAAGAGAGTTAGGAGGAGATATTTAAAAGCCAAGTTCCTGAGGTGGGGAAGAAGAAAGCAGGTCACAGCTCGTTCTCAGGCAGGTTACATGTTCACTGCACATGTGGGCTCTGGCCTAAGTCCAGATCTACTGCTTTTTGTCTCACTGACCCTCATGGTCAGTGTGGCAGGCCAGGTTGTTGAACAGGGCTCCCAGGCTATGGTTCCGTTCCTCCCCCTTTTCTTTCTTTCTTTTTTTTAAAAAAAAAAGATTTTATTCATTTATGCATACAGAATTGGGGTACAGGCCAGAGGAGCAGGGGTAGTGAGAGGCTTCACCAGAGACAGAGTGGGGAGCAGAACTGGCAGACAACCAAGTCCCCTGCTGAGGGGAGCAGTGGGCGGGTCAGGAGCGGTCTGCTGAGCCCAGTGGGTCACTTCCAGGGCAGGGATCGAACTCACACCGAAGCTTCTTTGGCGAGCTTGCAATGTTGCGCTCTAACCCATTGCGCCACCCGGGAGGGCCACCGTCCCTCTTTTCAAATAGCTGGTCCCACCCAGTCGCAATTTCCTTCATGTAGGTTGACTCCACATAGTGTCAGGTCTTCACTGATGAAGTGCCTTCAGAAAAGATCTGGAGTATCGACCCAACTATGTGACTTTTTATCAAAGTGGCTTGAAAAAACTGGGAGGAATTCAGACAACAGAGAGTGAACTTTTTCCTTAACAAGACTTCTAGAACATCTTGTTTCTCTTGCCTGAAAATGGTCCAGGACTTAGACTTCTGCTGCACTCTGGTGGTTCTGAGAATAGAAGCACCCAGCAAAGAGCTCTCCATTCACAACTCCCAGCCCACTGCATCTCCCATTGGGGGCTCCAAGGTGTAGCAGAGCCCAGGGTCCCAAAGGAGGGGCATCTGAGCCCCCACATTCCAAACTCACCTTGAGCCTCCCTCACTCCACCTTCAGTGTCTGGACCCCACCTGACAGACAACAGTTTGGCTGACTCTGCAATTCTGGGCCCCGGCTGGTAAGGAGACCGTCCTTGGCTCCAGCTGGGCCTGGCCGTCTTTCCCTGCCAGACATGGCCATGGGCTTAGTTCGTCCTGCTTATTGTATCTTTTCTTTTCGGACACTCTTCCGCGACCCCTCCTGCCTCTCTCTCCGCCTGACTGTGGCCCGGCCAATGGGCACTCGACATGATAACTTTAATGTGTATAAAAGTTCAGCTCTAAAATAAAATAGCACTTCTTGTTCCTTTTGGTGAACAGACTCACGGCGTCCGTCTTTCCTTCTGCCTTTTCCTTTCACCACCCCACCCTCACACACTCCACTTCACTTGCCTGTTCTGAAAGATATCGGTGAGTGGAACCCCCCCAAGGGGTTTGCTGGTAGAAAACACAGCGCCCCAGAAAGGTACTAAAAGTGAGGTAAGGCGTGCTCTCGTTGGTGGCCCAACGGGTTAAGGCACAGCACTGTGAAGCTTGGTGCGGCTGCTTCGGTGCGGGTTCGATACCTCACTCCATGTGGGCGCTGACCCCCAGGGCGCGGCAGACCTCTCCTGACCCGCCCACTGCTCCCCTCAGCAGTGTATTTCAGTCAATCTGCCTGTTCTGCTCCCCACTCTGTCTCTGGTGAACCCTCTCACCGCCCCTGCGCCTCTGGCCGGAACCCCAGTTCTGTGTGCATAAATACATAAATCTTTAAAAGAAAAAAAAGTGGGGTAAAGCAACTGAGCATAGAAGAGAGCTAGCGCATGTGCCAGAGAGAGCTCTGGGCACTCGAGAAGCTGCCGCAGGCAGGTGGCCGCAGGGCGGCCCCAGACGCTCCGTGAGGGCCCCTTGGAGCTGGGCCTGTGGGCCTGGGCCACATGGCCGAGGCCATCGAGGGCGGCCTTGTCGCAGTAGTAGTTCTGGAAAAGTTTTGATAGGCCTGGTGAAGAAAGACCGGAAGAAACAGGCATCTTGCTGCAGCGAGGCCTGGAGAGGGTGGGAGGCCAGGGAATGGACATTCTGCTAACATGCGAGTGGCCGCTGGCCGGCAGTTCGGCCACTACCGCTGTGGCCCTGAGTATGGCTGGTCTGGTGCTGTGCCGGGGGCATTTGGGCACCCAAGGGGCATTTCCCGGTGCATTCTTTGCTGAGTTTGTGAATGGATCCTGGCCTGTAGTCGGCTGCCGGTGGCCAGCCAGCAAGAGACGCCATCTATGACGCGGGGCCTGTTGCCAGCAGAGCAGCTGCACAGCCTCAGGGGCGGGAAGATGCGGTCAGAGCCGCCTTTGTGCAGGACAGTCCTGGACACGACTTTGGGTAAAGTAAACGGCCATTACCGGCCACGGAACTCTTGTTTCTCCTGGTTTGTTAAGTAAATTCCTCTGTTGTTATTTTCTAAGCCTGAGCGGTCTCACCGCAGCTGTGCACGCGGTGAAGAGTATTTGGTAAAGTGCTTGGGCAGCCGGGCCTTGGCCAGTTGAGTGTCCCCGGCCACCTGGTATCATGAGCACTGGTATCCTGACCTAGGCTGGACCTGGGCCACATCATTCAGGAGTTATAATCTCATGGTGATTCATCAGAACAGAACGGCAGTGGTCAAGGGAACATGTAGATGAGTCAGCTTGGCCGGCTTCAGGGCCGCTCTGCTGGAAAGTATCCCGTGCTGAAAGGAACCTCAGGGAGCTCAGTCTTCTCTCCCTCTCTCTCTCTCACACACACACACACACACACACACACACACACACACACACACACCATCTAACAGGCAGGTCAGCAGTTCCTATGTGAACAGGCTAGGCTGTCCCAGATGAGAAGGAAAAGTCTGGAAGGAACTGCTCGCCCAGTGTTGAGGCTGACTCCATCCCACAGCCCTGTCCAAACCCCCAGCTCTCTTTCCTCACCTTAGCCCTCCAACAGCACAAACAAGCGTGTCAGTACCAGCCTTTATTAGGGAGAAGAAGCCCCACACGCCCACTCCACAGCCCCGGGGCCATGTTTCCTATGCGTGAGGCAGCAGCAGCAGGAATAGCACAGAAAGTGAGAGACTCCCTGGGACCTTCACCCATCCTGGTGCCGGACAAGCTCCTTGGAGTCACCAAAGCTTTCCAGAACGCATCAGGACAGTCAGGACACCAGGACCTCTGGAAGAAGAAATAACAGCTCACAGCTGGTCCTTCCTGCCTCCAGCTCCCCAATCGATTGCCCCTCCGTCCTAGAGAAGCTTGTTGGTTTATTGCTCTCAAGCTTTAAGTGGCCCCCCGCTTCCTAGGTAATTCAGCCCCAACTAGGATTGAAGACTCATCATTCAAGCGGCAGCCGTATAGCTGCTTTTATAAAACATCCACTTCCACCCACCCCACCCCACGCCACTCCCAAACATGTCACATGCCTTCTGCCCTGTGCCTTTGGTAACAATACCACCACCTGTCCAGCGGGATCTCTGTATGAGCCTCGGTATTGTCTGTGCGAGGCACAGACGCAAGCTGGGATGTGTGATCCTTCTCTCCAACTATACACTCCGGGTCTGTAGTTGACCTCAAGTCCCCGACCGGCACCTGAGCCGGTGCTCTGGACATAGCAGCTACGTCGTTGCTGACCATGGACTGTACTCACCTAATTCAGAATTAGGCCTGACGGGTCAGTGGGCGGCACGGCCAGTTTGGCTGGCAGAACTGGAGGGGCACAGAAGCGGCCACAGCCTGACTTACAGCATCTCTGCCCGGGTTGGCAGTTGTCGTCTGTCACGCAGCTGATAATGCACAGGCCCACCAAGATTGTAGGGCAGTCACCGTCCCGCCCTGTAGGATAAGCAGGCACAGGCCCACACAGGTAGTCAGGGCCGGTGATGCCGGCTTCCCATTTGGGACTTAGGGCGTCCACCCCGATTCTAACGAGACCCTCGCCAGACCTGCTGGGGAGACCCTGCTGCTGGAGGATCTGAGCAGCGGTCGAAACCACGAGGGCATCTGGACCAATGATTATCAAATGGCGCCCCTGGTCACTCTCTCGTGCTCACCCAGGTCAAGAGCAAATCAGTGGGAGGACCAAGCTGAGAAGCTGCCTGGCTCCACTACCCCACCCGACTTCCCTGCCCAGTGGCCCTTGGCCCCAGGGGGAGGGGCCGATTGGGGCTGGGAGTCTGGAGAGCAGGATGGGAGTTCTGACTCCTCCGGGGGAGGAAGAGGGGAGAAGGCCCTCCCAAACTGAGGCTGGGACTCCAGGGGCACCAGGGGCTTCTTCCCACGGAGCTGGCATACCTCCCTGGATGTCCCCACGGCAGGCGTGACCGCAGCCGGTGCTGCAGCATTTATGTTCCTCGGGGCAGGACTCGTCCCTGTCACACAGCTCCTCGCAGGGAAGGGGGTCGGGAGGACACTCCCCGCCAAACTCTGCGCAGAATCAGAGCGCTGGGGCCCTGGGGTGCTCGAGCCCAGGGTTCCCCGTTACTTCTATCGTGACTTAGAGTACAAAGCACATTTTGCATTGGGTCCCGTGTGGGTTAATGCATGCGTATGTTTAAAATGTACATATTTTTTTATTTGAACATTGGCCATAAACTGTGCAATTGCTTTCAAGATTCCCAGTTTGAAAGACTGCTGAGGGCTAAACCCCTGGGACAAACATGCTACTTGGCAGACCCACAGCCCCTCGCCTCTCTTTCTTACTGCAACAGAAAGCACCAGCCGCCTCCAGGAACCACACCTCCTGGTCCACACTCTGGTGTGACTGTCGCCTGTGGTACCTCTGGCCTCAACCCTGTGACTTACTCGGGCCACAGCACATCAGCCGGCGTGATGCCAGCTCTGTCTGGCTTGGTGAGCACTGCCTTGGGGTGCTTGGCCTCTTGGCACTCCCTCTTGGAACCCTCGCTGCTGCCACACTGGAAAGCAGCTGGCAGTGGTGTGCTGGAAGGGAACTTCTTGTGATGGGAGAAAACACGCCCCTATTTGGTTCTCTGCTGACAACTACCCAACACATTCCCAGTGAGTGCCAGCAAGGGAAGGCACCCCAGAGCAGAGAAGGGGGTTGCCCACACCACAGAGCGAGGCAGCAGCAAAGCAGGACAAGACTCGCCCTCCGAGCTTCCTTGCTCTTTCTATCACACCATCCTTAAAACACTGGTGCTCCCAGCCAGGTCTTCAGGAACAGGTGCACCCCAGGAAGGCCACATCCAAACCGAACCCTCTCATTCATCTCAGCGTTTGCTTCGAGGGATTAAAATGGAGAGAAGGTGACAGGTGATTAAGGGCTTTATGGAAAGCCACGCAGGCCTGGCCCTGCCTCTGAGCAGGAAGTACGCTCAGCTGCTTGTGGCTGGCTCCGGGAAGTCTGCAGTGACCGAGAAAGCAAGCTGGCCTCCAGAGAGACGCGGGTAAGCTAAACAGCAAGGTAGACTAGCGACTAGCCGGCATCCAGAATCTTCCTGAACAGCTCCTCTGTCGAATATTTTATGTCACTGTCAGATCACATCAAAACCACGTGTCAGTAATTTTATTCAGATAAGGTCACTGTCCCCACAGCTGTTCCTCCTCAGCACGCCCTCCTACTTGACAAAGGCTTAAATCCATCCAACAAAGAAGCCTTTTATCCCACAGTGAAGAAGGCTGGATGTGAAGCAGCTCCCTGGTGGAAAAACCCAGCGGCATAAGCCATAACGTCTGCAGGGCTACTCCCGTGGCCTGGAAAGCCCGAGCCTGGAATTCCACACTCCCCAGGTGCAGGGGCCAACCCTTCCTCTCTTCCCGTCAGGCTTTGAGGGGTCAGCTAGTGGCCGGAGCACAGCCCCTTGGACCCAGGCCCAGCGTGACCACCCACACAATGGCCGCCCAGGCCAACTCCTGTGTGATGTTTGTGTCCTTAGCGAACTCCCGACCCTGAGACTACGCACCCCATACTTCAGCCAGACAGGTAAGTCTAAGAAATGACTTCTTTACACTCACCTGAAACCGGTTCTGTACTTCTGCCCAGGGGGTCTTCTCCTGTCCCCAAAGACTTTGTAAAAACATGGCCATGCTCTCTCCTCAGGGTCCTCTGCCTGCCACTTCCCTGGCTTTTTGTTTAGTATTCCATTTATTTACTCAACTGCCTCCTTTTTCTCTCTGAGAGCCTCACTCACCCTGGACGCCCCCTGCCAGGGAGGGCAGACCCTCGACATGGGTAGAATGAATGAGGGAGTCTGTAGATGGGTCAGGCTTCAGCCAGGGGGCAGGCAGCTTCACAGAGAGGCCCTGGCCGGAGCAAGGGGACTTATGGTGCACTGGCCGGCAGGCTTGAAGGCCTCTGTCTAGCCTGCGTGATATGCGTTGAGTGTTTGTGTTGCTTCAAAACTCACAAGCTGAAACCAGTCCCCAGTGTGAGAGTATTTAGAAGTGGGGTCTTTGGGGGTGATTATGAGGTCATGAGGGTGGAAACCCTCAAAGACACATGAGGCCACAGCACAACCAGCAGCTGGGCCCTCCCCAGACACTGTGCTGAGTGACTGGTGACTTCCTAGTCACCAGGCTTGTGACAAGCAGATTTTGTTGTTCTAAGCTCCCCTGTCTGTGGGATTCTGTCACAGCGGCCTGACCAGGCCAAGCACCACATTACTCCCTGTGAGGTATTGACAGATAACCTTGTCTCCACAGGTGAGACTCAGAGATGGAGGACTTGCCTGAGGACCTATAGCCAGCAAGCGGTCATCACTCAGGCCAGAAGTGCCTTATGGGAGCAGTTCCCGCCAGCTGTGTGCCCCCTGGCCTCCTGACTCTCCCTCCACCTCGACAAATAGATGGCTGTGGTAAACCTCTGACAATAGCAGAGCTTAAGGAAAACAGGAGTTGCTCATAGCCCAGAAAGGCCTCCTGAGGAGCTGGTGTAGGCACCAGTAGCAGTGGGCAGTGCTCCAGCTTCCCTATAAAGCTGGGTGCTCAGGGAAGTAGCCGAAACCAAAACCACAGCGAAAACCACCTCCCTCCTCTCCAGGAGTCCGCTCAGCCAGCACCCCCGGACAGACCTGGGAGGAGGCTCCTCGTAGCACCCAGCTTCAAGGACAGGGAAGCCCCTTCTGGGTTGACCAGGCCCCAAAGCAGCTCGCAGGGCTACCTTGCCTGGGTGCCAGCCTCACCCTCACCCTCAGCAATTCAGCCTTCAGCTTCCAACACTGCAAGACTGTGCCAAGCCCTACAAGCTGGCAGTAAACACGCCTGAGTCAGACTCCCAGGCTCTGGTTCCACAGTAGGGCCCAAGAGTGCCTGTGGCAAAGGTGCACAACCCTCTGTCCTCCTTTCTGGGCGGGTCAGCTAAGAGAGCTGCCGAAAGCAGGCATGGACCACCCGATGGGGACAGAAGCTTGGCACCTGGGAGAGTTGGCTGCAAGGAGGGAGGTTGCCATAGATGCTCTCAGGGCCTCAGAGACAAAGTGATCAGAGGGGAGAAGAAGGGACTAGAAGGGTGGGGGACACAAACACTCCACATATGTCGTGCCGCCCTCTGAGACCTTGGCCAGCCTTGGACCAAGGCTCACGAAGCAGGAGAGGCCAGGGACCCACTGGCCAGTGACTGGTGAGCCTCAGGCTTGAACCCAGCTCTCTGACCACCCAAACTTAGGCTTTTCCACTATTGTATGCAGCGTATGCTCGGGTGAGAGAACTGCTCCAGTTCCTTCAAAAAACACAGGAAGAAAGAACGGAAGGCCCCGTTGCAGAAAGCAAAGCAAAGCAAATACCTTCAGGCACTAATGTGTTAAGGGGGACACAGCCTCAGAAGCGAGGAGTGGGTTGGTGTGTGCTGCTTTGCACAGGTACCCGGAGTCTATTCTGCTGCATCACTGTAGGTTCTCCAGCTAAGATTTCACTAGGGACACTGCAAGCGTCCATGGGGGCTGGGAGTCAGCCAGCCACTTCCCAGTCTGCCTGCAAATGAGGATCTGCAAATAGGCCCTTCCCTTCTGGAAGCCGCCTCTGCCTGCCCAGACCATGTTCCACACATCACCATGCCTGGGGACGCTTTGTGCCTCTTTTCTTAAAACGTTCTCGGTATGTGGCAGTCAGTTGTTGTTTTTCAGAGTCAAGTAAAACCGACAACAAGGTGGTGTGTGTATATCTGAGAAAGAAACAAGCCAGCCACACAGGCCATGGGGTGTGGGGTGCAGTTTCTTACCCAGCTTCTCCTTAGACATTGGGGCTACACAGCTTGTATTGCAGCCAAAAGTGCAGCATTTCGTTATACCCGGACATGTCTCATCGTTGATGCAATTTTTAAAACAGGATGGATTCTGAACAACCCCGAGACAATCTCCTCTCTTCCCTGTAGCAAAAAAGGGAGAGGGCCACACACAAAAAAGGGCAAATAATGGTGCCTGGTGACACCCACATAGCACAGCGGGGAAAGCCAGAGGAGGTGAAACCTGGGCTTCACGAGGACACAGCCTGATGGTAGAACACAGTAGCCACAGTAACAGCTCTGTTCACTGTAACATTTGTCTTGTGCCAGGAACCTCCCTCTTGGACCTCACAACAGTTTATGAGGACTGACAATTAGACCCACTTTACAGATGAAGAAATTAAGGCTGTAAAAGATAACACTTTAAAAGACCTATTTAATGCTAAAAAGGTCCGCCAGGGCTCTAAGTTCTACCCTTTCCAATCTCTATCGAAACCCACTTCCCAACTTCCCAATTTCACCCTCCAGCCTTCACAGGAGTCCTGAGTTCAAAGTAAAAGGCAAATATAATCAGTCGGTGGTGGGTTCTTTCTTGATAGAGGGCTAAGAATTCAGGAGACTAAGCACCCCAGGAAAAGAGGTCTCAAGAGGGGAAAGGAGAGGTGTTCTCGGCAAGCTAGACTTGAAGAGCCAGTCAGAAGGTGGGAAGCTTTCTACCCCAAACGCAAGGTCTAAAAGCACACTTGGATGTTCCCACCTCTTGCCAACATACCCTCAGGAATGCCTCCTTGGCAGACCCGACCACAGCCCATGCTGCAGCACTTCTGCCCTGCTGGACACGATTCATCCCCCTGGCACAGGTCTTTGCATGGGCTCTCGTCAGGAGGGCATTCTCCTTCTTTCACTGCAAAAGATAGCAGCATGCCACTCTGGAGTAAGTAGCCTCAGAAAATGGGGAATGGAAGCCAAATGAACTTCCAAGACTTTCAACCTCTCCAACCACTCCTAGCCAAACTATCTCTGCAACCACTGTTTCCTTCACACACACAACCGCTACTAAAGAACAGGACATCATGCAGATGAAGAAAAGAAAGGTGGGATGGCCTCATTCTCACTTAAGGAGTTCTAGGGTAAAGCTAGTCTCGCTAGTCAGCCGCAATGGAAGTCCTACCTCCTTGTCCAGAGAGGCTGGCAGAAGCCCCATGCTGCACCCAGCCCCATCCTACAGAGATGACTATCTCCACAGCTAGAGACCCTCACCTGGGAGGCAACAAGGATGACTTCCCTTCTATTAGCCAAGGATTCCAAATGATAGCTCACCATACTCTCCTGCAGTCACCCAGGATGCCAGGAACCCAAGAACAAGAAGGGCCTTCGGGAAGAAGAGGCAGCTCAACATGTCGGCGAGAGTCGCTAAGAGTTGAAATGAGAACTCAGTTCAGGCCAGAGTATCAACAAAGGAAAGGGCGGGACCAGGGGAACTGGCCTAAGCCAGCCTCAACATATTCGCTTTCACGTTATTCCCCAGGTATGTCTTCCTTTAACAAGAAGAAAACGGATTGGCTACAGATAGGTGAGGGAATTCCTGGCATTGCCAAAGAGCACATGTGATGGGTGATCAAATAATATAATGTCCACAATACCCCTGGACAATGAGTGCAGCTGGCAAAGTGGGGAGATGGCCATCAAGCAAAGAATCAAAGAGACTAAGGGATTTTGGAAAGAGCAGGCACAGCTGAGATGACAGAGGGACAGAAGAGACATGACTTAATAAGGGAATATTAAGAAATTTCAGAGTGCCTGAAATGCACTGTGCTCTGAGGCATGCTAGCAGCCTAGAAAACAACGGGAATTTATGTCCAACAGAGAGGGTAGAGGCCAGTGAATGGAAATTACTAGGGAGAAACATCGGCTAAATCACCCTAATAAGAACTCGCTGAAGATGGGCTGAGGTGATAGGCTATCACCTCAGGGAAGAGAGAGAATGAGGACTCTCACTAGATACCTAGATGATCTACCAGGGTGGGGGTTCTGGCAAAGCTGACTTAGCAATATTCTTGATAATAGTGCAAGGCAACTTCTTGTCGCCAGATGCTTTGGCCCCAGGGGGCCTTTATATTGAGCCTTAACTGCCCCTTACCCTTTTATCTCTCCGGACTAAGAGCAGCACCAGTGGACATCTTTAGATGCTTTGACTGACTAAAGCCATAAGCAGGACAGATATAAAGAGAGAAAAGAAAGAAACCGAGGCCCAGAAAGAAAGATGATACAACTAAACTAGTGAGGGGTAGAGCAAAAGCTATCCGATTCCACAATGGTCTTAATCGCTACTTCACACTGGGTTCGCAGAATCCATGCACTTGCTCCTACCCTGCGCCTTAACTGGAATATAATTGTCTATCCTCCATAAATCAACCCAGTTCTACTCAGGGACGTTTTACCTCCCTGGCAGAGCTAAGGGGGGCGAGGGACAGTTCGCAGCTTTTAGGCCACCGCATTCCCAGACCACCGCAATCACCCGGCTCCCTGGGGCTTGGAGGCTGCGGAGGGCGGAGGGCGGAGGAACGGGGTCTATAGTCCAAGCCAGCCTTTGTCCGGAGGCCTCGGACGCCAGGGGCAGCACCCGAGTCACAGCCTGGAGAGTCGCAGGTGAGTGCTGACCAGAACCCTCTGATTGCTTTTCCCGGGCCCGGGCCCGACTAAGTGCCGGGCATATTCAAAACTGCGGTTTCCAGCCACAGAACTGCGGGCGCCGCTGACGAAACGCAGCCTCTGCTCCCCAACCCCGGCCCCTGGACACTTGCTCCTGCCCTCACTGGGTCCAGGCAGGGAACAGCCCTTGATGGGCACCCACAGTCCACACCCTAGGCGCAGCCCCTCCCGGGGAGAACCCGGGCCACGGGTCCCACACACCAAGGCTCCGCGCGTAGGGGACGGGGAAGGAGGCGGCGATTCGGTTCCCATGGCAACGGAGCCGCTCGCCGCGGCGCGCTTCCGGGCCCGCGATCGACGCGCCCCAATGACGTCACGAGGCCACTTTCCGGCCGGTGATAGAGTCGGACTGAAGTTGTGGGGACGGGGGGCGCCATGGGGGCCACTGGCGACGCCGAGCAGCCGCGGGGACCCGGCGGGGCCGAGCGGGGCGGCCCGGAGCTGGGGGACGCGGGCGCAACGGGGCAGCTGGTTCTCACGGTGAGGGCGCCCCGGGGAGGCGGGGGCCGGGCCTGGGCTCGGGCCGACTGGGCCTCGGGCTCCCGGGACCCTGGCCCGCGGGCGAGAGAACGCGGCTGCTGGCGCTGCCGAGGGTTGGCGTTTCGCACGCAGCCCGTCGACCTGGATTCAAATTCTGGCGGCGCCCTCCTAGCTAGGTGACTTGGGCCAGTCTTGTCAGCCCCCTCGAGCGCCAGTTTCCTCTTCGATAAAATGGAGATGAGTAGTCCCCTCCACGTAAAGTTTGCTGTGGGGGTGCGACATAAATGTGGGGGAAGCGTCCGGCACATCCCCGGCGACAGGACAGGCTCTCGTAAACGCTGGTTCTCTTCTTCCTGCAGTGCCAGAAAGGGTGGGGCTGGGGCTTCAGAGGCAGGAAACTGCCTCAGTTCCTTCTCCTGGCCTGAGCCCTCCGACCACCGCCCTCCCGCCTGCCCCGAAGTGGGAGCGGTGGTTAACGCCCCCGAGACTCCTGGATGTGCAGACAGTCTCATACCCACCCTCCACCCCAGCGTCACCGGCCCCCGTCTCTCTTGGTCTCCACAGAACCCTTGGAATATAATGATAAAGCACCGACAGGTGCAGCGAAGGGGCCGCCGCTCTCAGATGACCACAAGGTAAGGCGGGTGCGGGCTGGAACTTTCCTCCTGCACCCTGACTCGGATGGCCGCTTTGGGGTCCCCACTGCACTGGACTAGGAAAGAGGCAGCTCAGATTCTGTAATTCTGTGTGTGGCCTTGATGAGTACCCCTCTGGAGTCAGAACAAAATGCATGGTGGGGTGCATTAGACAGTGCCCAAGATCCCTAACACTCACTGTGGTTGAGGACTCTACTGAGAAAACCATGGAGGTTAAGAAAAACCTGGGGTCATAGTTTCCGACTCAAGAAAGCTGCGTTTCAGGGAGAGAACATATGCTGGGTCTTTGGGGTGCTGATTATGTTCCTGGACCTGGTTAGTGACTAAACCAGTGTTCACTACAACTACTTGCTAAAGTGTATAGACCTTTCCATAGAAGTATTGTATCTATAACACACTTTCAAAATAATACCTGTTTCATACGGTTGTTAGGGAATGATGCGCACAGAACCCGGGCATATAACTAGTTTTCAGTGGAACTCTGTTCTTTTGGGAAAGGATCCTATGTGTAATTAATGGACAGGACAGGCAAGGATCTATTTGGCTCCTGCCACCTGACTGTCTCCCTCCTGTGTGCAGCTTCACAGATCCTGCCATCTCCATGGACCTCCTCCGCGCTGTCCTGCAGCCCAGCATCAATGAGGATATCCAGACTGTCTTCAACAAGTACATGAAGGTGAGGGGGACGCAGGCAAAGGGACACACGGGCAGCCCCCTCCTGCATCACCATCTCACTGGTCTTTCTGGACAGCTACAGGTTTCCCATTCTGAACCTTCAAGGATTTTTTTCCCTCTCAGATTATAACCAACTGAGCTTTTGCCAAGCTACTATGAGGATGAAATGATTTAAGTATACTGTGCCCAGCACAGTGCTTGGAACATAATGCGGTTTTATTACTTGTTTTAATAATATCGTCATTATTGTTATTTAAAGTTCTTTTATAGGCCTATAAATAAACATGCATCTGAATGTCTCTCCCTGACTGTCCCTTGGATGCTTTAAACCCACTACATTCAGAACTGAATTTTGGTTTTCTCCCTAAACCTCCTCCTCTGTGCTTATTCATTCGTTCCAGAAGTATTTACTAGGCACAATGGCAATATTCTAGTCATGGGATGGGAGAGGGGCATGTCTCAGTGAACAAAGCAACGTCCTGTTCTCCTTAAATATGCTACTAGGGAAAGCCGAAAGTGGCCAGTGAGGAAACTGGGTGTTACTTCATGGGCAGTAGATAGGAAAACCCTTTGATGAGAGGCTGTTTGAACAGAGATCCAAAACAGGAGGGAGGAGCAAGCGGGGGTCAGCGGGTAGTGTCCAGACAGAGGGGACAAGGGCAGACAGTCTGCGGCAGGCGTGTGCCCAACACAAAGTCAAAAAGTCAAAGCAACAAATTGCCGGTGTTGCTGAAACAATTCTGAGCCAGGAGGAGAGGTGAGCAGAAGTAACAGGTACCCAGCTCTTGCGGGACCTTTGAAGCCATGGGAAGGACTTTGGGTTTTATTATTATGAGTAAAGTGGAGGCTTTGCAGAGTTTGGTCAGAGTGTGTGACCTGGACATCTCTAAAGAGCCCCTCGGACTGTTATAGAGAAATAGATGTCAGGAGGACCAGTTAGGAAGCTTGCGAGGGGAGTGGCTTAGAGGCTGGGCAAGAGTACTTTGTTGTATCTCCCCAGTTCTTCCAAAAGGCAGCACTGAATGTGCGAGACAACATCGGGGAAGAAGTGGACGCGGAGCAGCTCATTCAGGAGGCCTGTCGGAGCTGCCTGGAGCAGGTGAGGAGAGGAAAGGTGATGTGGGGACGAAGGACCGTTCCGCCCTCCAGTGGCCGGGTAAGCAGAGGGTCGGGGTGGTGGGGAAATGCCTGACAAGTCACGTATATGCAGAGAGGGCTTGGCACTGTTGCTGACAGAAGCTGTTCTGTGCAGGTACTGTGGTAGGTGCCTTCACAGGCATTAGTTCATGTATCTATCAGGAGACACCCTGTGCAGAAAGTGTTTTTAGTTCCGGGTTTACAGAAGAAGAATGTATGCCAGACCTTCTGGCGCCGTTCAGAGAGAAATTTCACGTGCAGGCACCGTGACTTCAGGCCCATCAGTGACTGTGTTCCCAACGCAGTAGTGAAACTGCTTTCCTGGATCAGCTGCTGTTATGAGTAGGAATCATAGCGTCACCTAGATTCTGCACCTGAAATTTCTCTCTAAACGGCGCCAGAAGGGCTGGCATACATTCAGGCCTCTGAGAGGAATCATTGTGAGATGAGAGCGACCTCTTCTGGAGGGTGACCTCATTCGCCTCTCAGGCGCAGCTTCACAAAGGAGCCCAAGTAGGCCCAGAGCTCCGCCTGGAAGGACAGAAGTCCGTCCTGTCAGTGCGGCGAAGCTGACCTGATTCTCATAGCCAACTAAGCTTGTCCGGCCAAGTTCACAAGAGGCCAGTTCAATGCTCTGGGACTGTGGTATGATCACTTGTAACGCTCTGGTTAACGAAGCATACTAATAATCTTCTTACAAGTTCGAACTGAATCATGATTACATTTATCTTTTCAACCACTATGTACTGAGGACCTATTCTGTGCCCAGTACTGTGCCAGGACCGACAGTGTTGTGCTAAATGGACAGTCTAACTTCTAGGACCTTGACATTCCACTGGCAGTCATAACAATATTGTAGGCCTCTCACAAACTGAAGTTCTGTAAGCCTCAGAGGCAGTGCGCGTCCACTAGAGGGCGCAATGCCCTGGGCACAAGTGAGGGGCATAACTCTAAGGGACAGAAAGAAGCCAGCATTTTCTGGTTGTTCTGGTTTCCAGGAGTCAGAAAGGTGGGCAGAGGCCAAGTCATGCAAAGCACAAATTACAAGTGGTAGTTACGTGCATAAGAGCAGCCTACTGGGGGGCCTGTCTGGTGGCCCAAGGGGTTAAGTCTCTGTACGGTGAAGCTATCACAGTCACTGCAGCACGAGTTCAATCCCTGACCACAGAGGTGCCCCACATGGTGCAGCAGACCTCTCGCCTGTCTCACCCACTGCTCCCCTCAACAGTGGATTTCAGTCCATCTGCCTGTTCTGCTCCCCACTCTGTGGGGTGAATCTTCTCACTCACCTCTGGCCTGTACCCCAGTTCTTGTGTGCATAAGTAAATCAATCTTCAAAAAAAAAACAACAGATCACTGGCAGCCGCAAGGAGTCTGGTCTGGAAGGTAATTTAGGAAACTGCTTAGAAGCCCCAGCTGCAAGAGAGATGAAGTTTAAATGCGTCGAGCATAACTTGCCCATGAGTAATTCGTTCCAGTCTCCCGAGGACTCATGCCCCTGTTACTGTCACTGGGAGGAAGCCAGCACTTAGATCAGTAACAAAGACTTGGTAATAAAGACTGCCTGCTGCTAGTAAAATTTAAAAAGATAAAGTATAAGGACGGAGATTTCATTTTCGCACAACCTCACTGCCAGCAGCCACTTGTGTTCATGTTTTGATGTCTTCTTCCAGTCTTTTCCCTGTGTTGTTACACATACCTGTTCACTCACCAGGGCACCAGGGATACAGTAGGGAGCAGAGACCACCCTTGAGCCCACAGTCCCTTGAGCTGCCGCATGGTTTCTCTTCCTTTTCCAGCCAGACTCGGGGGGGTTTCAGTCACTGACCACTTGTCGCTGCCCACGCGTTCTTTACTCACTTTGTCTTGACTTCCGTCCCTGCCACTTCACTGGAACCCTCCTGTATATTCGTCGCCATAAAGTGCGTGGGTGCGGTGCGGCGCCCTTCCCAGGGCAAAGTCACAGCGACCATTTGGTGGTCCTGCCTGCTTCTGCGCCAGCGCCTCTGCGTGGCTGCCCGCCCGCCGCGGCCCCTTCTCTCCCTCTAGCCCTCGGCTTGGACGCATCTGACTGCTGCTGGCTGCCAGAGTGACCTCGTCCTGCGCTGCCGCCACTCTTGCTCACCGCAGCGGCCAGGGAGACTCAGTGGTATCACTGTCCCCTTTGATGCCTCCTGACTCCCCATTGCTGCGCCCGGACCAGTCGTTCTTTAACTCAGCTCCGCCTCGCTCTTGTTGACTGTATAGCAGTCGGACTGGACTCCTTTGTGCGTCTCCGGCCGTCAGGCTG